TGAGCAAATTTCTGCCTTCTTTAGTGTGTAACTAATAGCTGCAAGTGTTCATGTTAGTTAGGGTCCACATAGTGGGCACTGAAAAGCCATGACGCTTTGGATAGCTGAGAAAAAGGTTGAAATCATTCTTTTATTAAAGTAGAATTCCAGCATCTCCTCATGAAAAGAAATATTTCCCCAAGGCATTCTGATGTTTACTGCTTCTGTCCTCTTGAAGTGTTTTAAATCCTTCTTTAATGCACTTCAAAGGGACAAATAGCATTAAGCTGTGAACCAGTGGGTGTGGGTTGGATTTTTCCAGGAATATGGCCCCAGGTCATTCACTTTTCATTGATCTCCTTGGATTCAGACCTGCCCTGGCTTCTTGCTTCTGTTGGTGAAGTTAGCTAGTCTGGTAATAGCTCAGCATATAGTGCAAGAGAACACTCTTTATCACATTTCGGCTGCCTCAGTGCTGACCACTTCCTAAACATAGGGAGTACAAAAGAACTTCCTGGATAAGTCTTTCCAACCACATTGTGAGGCAAACCTGACTTGGTCTGTGAGAAAGTATCCTACTTTCTGGGCATGCAGGGATGAATATAGGACCCGTGTGAGAGCTGATATCTGTGATTCTATGGTATAGACAGATCTAGGTGTCTGGAGACCCACATGGAGGCTCCCACACAAGATATGCCTCAGTTTGGTGATGGGCACCCAAGGTGGCATCAGTGTGAGTTGATTCATGAACAGAACTCACGTGGGTAGTAGGGTGGGGTGGCTGCTGTGATTCCCCTTCTAACAGCTATGTTCTTTCTTCATGACAGAATTACTGTACCTCTTCAGTATGACAAATCCAAATGCAGAACGCTTTTTAACATCACTGACTGTACCTACACTGTTGTGATGAATAAAGATAATACAGAGCCCTGTCCTTTCTCTGTCAAGATACGTGATGGCTTCAAGGAGTTCCAGCGCAACCTGCTCTCTATTCCAAAAGCAATATACCCATGTTGGTAGTACCACCACAGGAATAGTAGAAGAGAAGGGGTACCTTGTTTAGACCATCTCCTTTGGCCTCTACCAGTCTATGATTATGGAGCCCTGTGTACCAGTAAAATCATTCTTGAGCAAATCTTTGAATATATATTTTCCTTAATATTGCTAATTATGTGAGCAATGACTTAATGTACTCAATAAAACACACAGACATTTAAAAGGTGAGAGAAAAATAATATAAATGAAAGGTGCAGCAAGTATCCCATGCTACAATCAGTTCTCCTGCATCTCCCCACAAAATATACTGCTAGCTCTGCCACTTCTCACACACAACCTTCTGCTGCATATGTCCTGTTACTTGGTGAAAAAAGTAAAAATAAGTTTATCTTGAGATGATATTAGATCTTTCTCCAGGTTGCAATGTTTGTGCTCAAACTAGCTTTCTTTTCAGGTTGTGTCATATCTGCTTTGCCCTCATGTGCTTCTGCACGTGTCCAAAGTCAGGGCATGGCAGGGGAGAACAGCTTCATAAACTTCTCTCAGAAAGATATAGAGACCCTCAGGAAATCAAGACCAGGGCTGTGACAGTGCACTCCAGCCTGTGTAAAGGGTTCTCTTTGTCTTTTTCTGGATGCAGACCCCCAACATGAGATGATTTCAAACAGTGACACCATCCACCTTCTTTACTCTTTGTGTGATAGACAGTATGTGCTTCCTGCACCCAGTGCTGATTGTCTGGGCCTGGGATCCAGCAGTGAACAGAGAGGGCAGACCCTTGCTGTCCTGGGACCTAGAGTGACTCTGTGCACCAGGCAGATATCAAACAAGCTGTCCATGGGGACCTGATATAGTGTTACAATTCCACAAACTGCCCATCTATGTTCAATCTTGCTATGAGGATCCTTTATCATGCTAGGCAGCTCCTTAATTTTATGATCATTCTGGGGAACTAGAATGTGTTTTGTCCAGTTTCAGTCCCAGTAAGTTTCATTTCAAAGTTGTCATCAGTTGAGGGGGGTACTGGGAGAGAATTCAGGGTACAACATAGCCTTGAATCATTCTGCTTGAAGAGTTGGTTGTGTCTCATTTCTCCTGGAGTCTTGGTGGTTCCTAGGATATTGCCTTCTAGAACACTATCTCCTCATCTCCCTATTATTCATAAGCTTTCACTATTCCTTGGTGTCAATGCATGGGTTTAGGTCTTTTGTGCTTTGTGCAGAGGTCAACCTCCCATTTTTAGGGTCACTTCCAACTGAGATCCATAAAATCATATTACAGTTCTGACTTTTATAATTGTAGTTGGTGTATGTAGGCCCCTTGCAAAACCTGAGAGTAAATGGTTTCCATTTCAATATCTGTTCAGCATTAAATCCACAGAGGCTTTTCCAGGTGAATAATGATACACCCTCATGGAAACACACATTTAAAAATGGCCATTTTTCATTGCCACACACAAGCACATAAATTGGATTTGAGTGAAATGGGTTAGAATCTGGGTCTTCATAGTTGTTTTCTCAATTTTTAAGGAAATTGGCCTCAAAATTTATTCAACACTTATTGCATTATTATATCATTCTCTAAGTGTGCAGTAGAGTTTTGTTAATTTCATTCACACCACTGTCACCAACATTCATATGCTGAACTTTCATCACAGACACTGAAACATTGTAGCTACTAGACAGTTTGATGACTCCCATTTCTCCCCTTCTTGGCCACTATCATACTGTTTTTCCATGAATTTGACATCTTAATTATATGGTTTTGTAGGCAAGTAGACATGAGGAAAAAGTTCTTGTATTCTCTATCATAGTGGGACAACTATTGTCAATAACTAATTAAAGATTTCAAAACATATAGGAAAGAGTATAATTCATGTTATCTATACTAAGGGCAGTGTCAGAGGTGATGCATCTCCCAATTCAACTGATCTTCTCATCATATTTTGTGTGCATTATTATAAATTCACAGTGAACCCCATAAGTATTTACAATTACTATGTAGCAGCTATGAAGAACAATGTTTTGGAAAAAGTCTTGGAAAGAGGAATTTGCTTTATGTACAGAATATAAATAAGATCAAATAATGTATTTTCTGTTTTATCAAGATATGTATTTCTACACCTGAATATTAAAGCTAAATGTTTTAGTTATTTTCTTATTGCTGGGACAAAGTACCACAATTTAAAAATAGGAAAGGTTTATTTTATCCCATAATTTGCAGAAGTTTTAGTTCATAGTTGGCTGGCACCCCACACCTATATCTATGCTAAACCAATCAATACGCTGTTTCGGTATGATACAGTATCACATACCCATTGTCTAGTCACTTCCCAAAGTTCCACTTATGGGAACATAAGGCTTTCAATGCAACATCTAGCTCTAAGATATAACCCTAAACAATGTCTACCTTGTAAAAGACAATAGCATTGCTATAATATTATCCATTCAAAGTATGCAAGTATTACTATTCCCCTCTATTCTTTGAATCCATAATTACAGATTGCATTTAGTCATGAAATTACTTCAACCACCTTCAATCAGAAATCACTGATGAGACGTTTGTGAACTTCCAAAGCCTTGATATTTTTTAAGAGTTTGGGCAATTACTTCCTAAGACAAGTTCCTCTGAAAAGACTTAGGTGTGCATTTTTTAAAGCAGGAACCCAAAAGAAGAGAAGTGTGTACCTCCAAGGAAAATGGAGAAGGTTTTCTTTAGGTCATTATCATTTATTTGGAAAGACTAGAATAAATGCTTTATTGCCTTAACCATGCATTACACAAACAAAATCTTTAATTGCACCATAAAATTAAGCACATCTAAAAAAATAAAACAGGGGAAACTAGTCCAAACACAGCAGATTCTGTATCCTGATTCAACTATTTTTGTACCCTATTTGTAATGTAAATAAAATTTTATTCCAAATATTTTTAAACAAGATAATTTTGTTTGTAATCATGGCAAACCAAGATAAGTATTTTAGGGGAAAACACCTTGGATTTGTAACTTAAACTATAAAATATTCCATTTTTAGTCTATTTTAGACTATTCCAAGAATCCTAAAATATATATACATGTTTCTTTAGCACATTAATAAAAGGATATAAAGACCAACAAAAAGTGAAATAAATAGTAGGCCATTAGCAAGATGGGTAATTCTTGATAAATAAACTTGTAAATACAGTAAGATGTACAAAATATCACATAGTGATAGGATGCGAAGATTAGTTTTTTTAAAGAGTTAATTTGGAGTACTAAAACCCACTGTTTCATTTTAATACACTTAATAGTTCTTGGCTCATGAAGACATTTATGTGATGATGAAGGTGATTTAGCATCTTTATGAAGGACTTAACTGAGCTGTATTAGGCAAAATAAATAAAAAAAGAAAAGGTTATGGGTATCTGGTCAGTGAGAACTCTGTTTTAGGGTTGTATAATGGAGAAAAACTGCAATCTTGAGCACTGTTGTGACAGGTGAAATATAAAAAAGACTTATAAAAACTAGAATTTTATCCAAACATTTTGTGCAACTAATGCTAAAATATTTTAAGTTAAATTTTCCTTTTTTTTAAAGAAAAATAAGTTTAAAGAGGAATCTGTGGCATTCAACTGATAAACATAAGATCATTAAGAGATGAAAATAAGCTGCTTTTGGAGCTCACTTCCCCCCCCACAAGAGTACCCACATTCCTAACCCTAAGGCAGCACACAGAGTCCAAAAAAAGGAAAAAAAAAAGCCTTTGTAAGATCAGACTCTACATTGGCTTAAATACATCTTTAAAAAACCAAATATATGCTCTGTTCATATCCAGTACAAATACTGGAGTCCTTTTTCTTTTTCTCCCACAAAGTACAGTAATTACAGTTAAGTCAATGCGCCTAACATTAAGATGTGATTTCCACTAATTTATGCCTGACCCAAATGCCTTCACCAGGTAGATCACATGCAGTGTCATATCCAGTAATCTTTTTGATGGCAGTGATGCAGACCCTCCTTTTGTCATGATGAGAGTTTCTATTGATTCACACAAACACTTTGGCAAGGGCATCAGCTCCTGCACTGGCAATATATGCTTTTTTAAAAAATTGAATTTAATGGTACATTCTAGGTAGACAGTACAGTTACATTCATTACTGGGATCTTGTACCTTTTGATGATGGAAAGCAACATCATAAATTGATTCATCCAATTTCTTTCTATGAGCTGTTATTTCTTGTACAAATGTCTTGCTGTCTAAATTCCATAATCTAATTGAACAGTCATGGCTTCCAGACATCAAATAGGTTTCATTAGGATCTACTGCTAGACTTGTAACAGCATACAAATGAGCTACCATAGAAAGGATCATTTTACCCATTTTATTGTCAAAAAATTTGATGTGTCTATCTTCGTGAGCAGTTATTGTAACAGAAAGTGTGGGATGACTTACTACTCTGTTAATGTGGTTAGTGGATTGTAAACCTGAATCTCCCTGTGATGAAAGCATCACTAATGACTGTGATGTTTCTAAATCATAAATTACTGCACTACCAGTGTTGAAAGAGGTCACCATATGGGCTGCATCACAGCCTATAAAGTCAGCTGATATAGATATTCCATGATCTCTGTCTCCATTGTAAGTGCAAATGCACGGCAATTTTTCTTGTGGATTCCATAACCTAATAGTGCCATCTGCTGAACAAGACAGTAACTGATTTTTTATGCCACTATAGGTAAGACCCCAGACTGCATCTGAATGAGTAACTAATGTGCCAGCTAGAACATTTGGCTCATATGTATCATAAGGATCCACATTAGGACTAGGCATATTCCACCACTGAATGGTTCCATCAATACCACCACTAAAACACTGTTCTCCATTAGAACTAACAGCTAATGACAGAACAGGGCCAATGTGGGCCCTAAATGTGTAGATAGGCTCTACATCTAAAGAGGCACTCTTTTTGGCAGGAACTGTTTTTTGCAAGCTTCAAAGTTTCGGGGTATGGTCCTCAGAGGAAGTAACCAGCACAGGTTCTACCAGATGAAAAGCTAATGCTCAGACTCCATCAAAATGGCTATGTGGTGTATACTTGGGGTTCCATGTCTTTTGAAAGGCATCTTTATTGGCAGGTAAATCATAACTATAGTCCTCATCATTTGTTACTGTCAAGTCTGCAAGGTCTCCAAGGCCCAGCACACTTAACAAAACATCATCAGAACCCATAATAAATGACTTGCCTCCTCCAGATGAAAACATTATTGGTTCAGCCCATTCTGCGCCATCCCCTGAACTCCGTGGTTCTCCAGCTCCTTCACCATCTTCAGTAGTCACTAAAAAATCAAATTCCTTCAGCGCTTCCTCAGTACCTAGATCATCAGTTAGGTCAGCAGTTAAACCTTCATTACCTGCTTTGTGTTTATTCACCCAATGTTTGTCTTTTCCTTCTGGGATGCCTTCAATCATGTCATTTTCCTCTTCTTCATCACTGTCATCAGCATTTTCTAAGAAATAAAATGTCTCAAGAACATCACCAGAGGGTCTTTTGATTTCTTGTCCTTTTTGCTTAGAAGATTCACCACCATTCAGAATTTGTTCTAAATTCTTTGTTTCTACTGATCCATTTGGTTCTGAATTAGACAGTCCAAGTAATGACCTTACCCGCTGAGACCGCACATCTAATATTGTATCTGTGTAACCTACTTCCTGAAGATACTGTCTTAACAGCTGTCTGCCTTGCTTCCACGTTAACTGGCTATTCTGAGGTGCTGTGGTAACCTCTGTGTCTTTGGTTTCTTCTGATTCAAGGGTTGGCATTTTCAAGTCACCTTGGTTGAGTTCTGTGCCATACTTTAATTTGTGGTATTTTGCACTTTCTTGTTTTAATGCACACTCTAACATATTCTTTATTCTTCTTCCTAAATCCTTCTTCAAATTCTCTTGACCTGTTCTCTCTCCTTGTAAAAATGCTATCCGTGCCTGCAGTTCGGCCCGCTCCACCTCCCAGTGCGCTCGCTCCATATCTAACCGAGCCCACTCCGTTAGTGCAGTATCACCAGGATAGTACTACTGTGGCGGGGACAGCTCGGGGCCTGCCTGGGACCCACTCCCTCGGAGGCCAGAAGACCTCCGCTGACTGCCGCTCCACTGCCCCCTGGCGAAAGGCTCAGGTCCCCCACCCCA